AGACTGTCTGTCAGTATGAATATTACTTTATGTTTATCGTATATTTTATGATATTATTGCTATTAAAGTAGTTTATTTTAATTTTAGAAGTACATTGGATTGAATTAATTTTGTTCCAAAAACATTATACATTTAATTGTGTGGTTCTGTAACACTTCTGAGTGTGGTCATATTTTAGTTTATAACTTAGTCTTGTTGTTAGTGTATAGTATTTTCATTTATTATATAAATTGAAAATTATCAATTATAATAGTACTTTTGTAGTAATATATCGATCCTCGTTATTTTTTTGATGAGCACGACTTTTAATATGGACTGGAAAATGTTGTGTTGTATATATTATAATAATATACTAAAATGGCCTAATTCTGTAAAGTGTCGAGTGGAATATTTATTTCATAAAAATCAATTGAAACGAAAAATTGGCGACGGTCGATTGATTTTATCATTAAAATTAAATGTTAATTAAAAATGGTATAATAATTTCGAGAATTCGAGTGTTATGTTCTGTAAACACTAAACAGTATCATATTTGTCAAAGAGCAATAATCATGTCATTATTGAAAAATGAAAATGCCGAAAATGGATATATTTGATCGATAATTTAAAGCATGCTATATATTCAATATTTAAGTGTTTACTGTTTAGTTTACTATAAGTTACCAAGGAGTATGTAGGTAGACAAGAACGAGTCACATTTTTGACCGTTCCACTGATGGACAATAAATAGTCAACTAACGGAACCCGTACAATTTTGAAAGTAAGCGGCCACGTGCTCACACTAAATATCGCCTAAATAACGAATCAATATTAAATTGTAGGCACCAATATTATATTATTATTAATATAACTAGACCTCCTACTCTGGATATTCGATATTTTGTATATTTTACCTGATCGTAGTACGAAAACTGTTTAAATTATAATCAAATCGGAATTGCTTCACTGAATCCTAATGGTACACATTGTGGTATATATAAAAACAACATTTTTACTAAATTTCATCTGCCGACTGCCACCGCTAAAGTTATGAATTTTGTATTGGAACAAGTCTTATAGCGCTTAACGTAATATTGTGATCGTCCGCCATCACTCGCATTAATGACCTAAGAAACTAAATACTATGAATATCATTTATATCATTACAATTTCTTACAATTTATACAACTACCATTAAATAACTAGGTACCCGTATTACCGATTTTTGAAATGTTATCGAATAGGAGTATTTTGTGGAACTCTTAGTCTAGTAAAACTTTTCCTCTGTACAATAACAATTGATGCGATTCGAGGCAGTCATACTATGTTTTGAACTATTGTATAATATTTTATACTATTATCTTTATGAAATGTACACTACTCTGATTAGCACACTAGTTAATTGACCATTTAGGAATCTAGCTGTGATGCAGCGTTGTGTTATTAGTACAAACAATATTCTCAGTACAATGTGAATTTATGAGCTAATCAGCAGTCTTATATATATTTATATGACACTTATAATTATTATTGTTGATAAGTCTTTTAATTGGTGGCGACTGCCGAAATAATGATTTCAACGACCCATAGTGATTAGTGACGCACTGACGCATCACCGTTAAATGTGTAATTGCGATTTACTCACTATTTTTGTGAGATCAGATATCTGCATCATGGCTATGTTAGTATTGTTTGCGGAGAGTGAGTTGGAGGTTAAGTGGGTATTTGTATTTTGTATATGATCAAAAGTATGAATGGATAAACCAAAACTAAGTATAAATGAGCATGTTTGAAATTTCAAATCCGGAAAACCACATAATATAATATACTCATCACATCTTGATCTTAAATACGAACGCGGTCAACGTGTCAATGTTTCTTGAATAATTTCCGTGTCTTGATCTGTCCCCTCCCCCATTCCCCACACTTTTTACGTTCTGTTTACGTTTGAACAAGTTTAAATTCCCCGCCTTTATAGTTGTGGGTTTAGCCTTCAATGTTTCGCTTTGTTTCAGCAAGCTGATCGTTGCAGAGTTCACTGTTTTCGATATCTATAATACCGCTCTCGCGCTATCGAAAGTTCCATAATTTTTAATGTTCAGGATTCGAGGTTGTGATAAAAGTTTTTTCGTTTTATAAGTTGATCCCGGGTCCGTTACTTTCAAAACTCACCGACGGGCACTTGTCCTTCAGCAGCTATAAAGCACGTTACCCACTGAGTTTATTTCTTTCGTGGTACCATAGTCGTTTCTATTTGTTTCAAGTTACGTTGTCAATTTTTTATTGATTTTATTGACTCCAGGTCACTAATGTACTATCATTCACGACTTCCAAATCCAAAATTTAAAAAAAATTAGACTATTATCTAATCAAATTGTCGTGTCCATACATGGTTAATTTTATATTTTACTCAAAATAAACCTTTCTAAAAGACTTGATTAGAATAATTTTCTTTTATATCCAGCATTCAGTTAGTATATTATGTTTTTCATGTTCGGGTATTGGGATAATGAAACTAAATTAGTATACAGTGATTATTATTATTATTATTATAAAATTGGAAATTAATAATTAACTTAAATTAAAGATGCATAATTTAAATATCTACTCGTATTGTTATTAACTATTTAGTATTTTCCTATGTTAACATCTTGCAAATGGCTAATTGGGTATCATAATTATTAAGATATTTTTGTTATCTAACTTGTTTTAATCTGGAATGTACAAACTGTACAAATAGGTTTAAAGTTTTAATTAAATTATGCTTTTCATTAGTGTTCAAAGTTTTAGTTCAATAAGGCATTCTCTGGGGTGAGTTGTTTTTAATTAATAATGAGATTGAAAGATTGGAGAGTGTGTTGGATAATTATTTTGTATAGGTTGACCAATAAATGTTTGGCCAAAACTGCTAGACTGTTGAATGTCTTGCACCTAAGCCAAAATTAAAGTATACACATTGGATTTTTAAAAATACAATAAAAAATACATTTAAGACTTTAAAAGCATACGTAACCAGAATCATATTAAAATTAATTTATTAGGTTTTTACTAATATAAAAAGAATGTTCAAAAATCATATGCTAAACATCTTGTTTACAAGTTTCGTGGAACTATGGTAGCAGTGGCGTAGCAAGGTATTTTGTATGTGTGTGTGTGGGAGGGGGGAGGGGTTAAGTCATACAACAAATACAATATTTCTTTTATTTACATTTGTTGTACCTAAAATAATGTCTGTAATAAATTAAGCAAGTTATAAAGGCGTATAAACATTTCTACATTCACAATTTATCATGATAGCATAAGAAAGAATATTATAAAGATTGTAGATTTAAGTAAATTTGTTGTAAATTTTCATGAACATTTTTTTTATTTGGATTTTTAATTATATAGGCCATTTGTTAATTATTCATTTATTCACAAAACACTTACCGACTTACTTATAAAATATAAATGTTGACTATTTAATTTATTTCATTGATTAAAAATGTAGGTGTAATGAATTTACAAAAAAAAACTAGAATTTAGAATTAATTAATTCTTTATTGGGCATATGAATTGTATAATACATTATTTATATAATATTAAGACTAATTTAGGTACACCCTGTACCTAGCTCCTATGGAAAAAAAAATGAAAATTTTGAAGAACTTAAACAATGTCAACCGTTGAAAATTTCAAGGAAAAAAAATTTTTCAAACCTACAGCACTAGATTTAAGTGATTTAAGTTCTGACGGGGATTACTTATAGTATGTTTACTACACAATATTTCAATATTTTTTATTACAAATTATAATATATTATGGCCATAATGGCTATGATGGCTAAAATAAACACAGCCAGTGGGGTTGGGGCTACAGCCCCCTTAGCTCCCCCTGCCTACGCCACTGTATGGTAGTGCCCAAGACAAAAACAAAACAGAATTAATCGCTGCTGAAATATTTCAAGACAAACATATGAAAATTATTACAGATTTAGGCATATGCCATATATTATAGGATTCCAATTATCCTACGCAGTTATTAAAAATCATAACAGATGAATTATTAATCACTGAGCAATGTGTTTGGCGTTTATTAAATAACCAAAACCATAAACCATTACAATTAATATTAGTGAAATGTTCGCTTCGAGAACAAGTGAATTCTCAAAACTCTCGTTATCGGTCTAACTCCAATTCCCATGTTTTAAGACAACATACTCAATGGAAACAATGTCCTGGTTAAAAAAAAAGAAATACATCTTTTTTTCGATTTTTTGAAACTCCATATTATTCATTAATAATCGTTAACAAACCACACTGGCATAAGTCAATAATATCTCATTATCGTTATGTCCAAAATCAACTTTTAACGTAATATGCAGGTTACTTGTCGACAAAACATTTGTATGCCAAACACAACATGTTTTTCCGTATTATACAAATATATTTCTTTGAAATGTTAAATGAAGAAAAAGTCATTTAGTTATTATAAGTCCCTACAGCCCCCTCCTATAAAATCACCTTTGAGTCACTAATGTCTCAATAATGACACTATGTATATTACAACATGAATATCAGAATCTATTATGTAAACGCAATGCTTTATTGCGTTGGGCTGAATTACATTTAATTTAAATAATTATTGACTTATCTCGCTTCACTATCTATTTGCTCCTCTACAGAAATAAACATACAAATCACGTGATGTAATTACATGAATTAAAAATGCTGTGCATCCGTTAATTCTTTTTAAAAAAAAAACGTCGAGTGAAGATACAGATTGTGGATTCTAACAATTTTGTTTTGTTCCAAACAATGTTTTAAAAAATATTATACATTTTGCAATTAGACATATTCTATTTAACAGAGTAAAATAAATACATTATTAATTTACAAAACATATGAGATCAATATTTACTATACTAAAGCTATAACTTATTAATTGTATATGAATACAATTTATTCGGGTTTTTCCTCGAAAAAATTATTAGTTAAAAAATAATAATATCAAGTTAACCCAACATTAACACTTAAAATTAAAAGATTTCATTTTTACTAAATTTAATTTAATTAAATAATTATACTTAATAAAAACATGACAAAGTATAATTATTTTAGTAGCATTTATCTATTTAGTAGGCAATTAAATTAATTTTCATAATTTTACAATAAACAGTAATGGGTAGTATATTAAATTTGGATATTTTCTGTGGTCGGTCGCTTAATATTTACCATCCAATGCGATGATCCTTTTGTTTGAAGTTTTTTAATGATATTCTTAAAAAAACCATACCAAGCAAATCCAAATGTAACACTTAAAAGTGTTCCTAAGTAGAATCCATCTACTGTTGTAACACAATCACCTCCAATCGTTTCACATTCCTAAAAATGTTAAAAACACAAAGTAAATTTTAATTAGTTATAAATTATCTACGATGAGCAGTAATTGTGAACTTTCGTTTTCATTTCAATATTTGAAAACCAACCAGATAAAAGGTAAAGTTATGTTACCTAAACTAATGATTTTAACAACTTGATTTTCCACTTACACTTTTCACAGTTCTAATCATTCAAGTCAATGCAAATTAATAAATGAAATTAAAATATTATGTGTGTAAATTTAATAGTTGTATATTATTGTCTTACGTTTTGATCATCTAATGTGGAACAGGAATTATAAGAATCGAATGAACATTTTTTAAACGTCAATAAATCAATTACTCCAAGTGCCACTGTAGACGTCCATGTAGCTCCCAAATTTGTTACTGTATTTAAAAATGTTATGTAAGTACCACCGAAACGAGGATCGCTTATCCGAGAGAAAAAAGCTAATACAGCAACAAACATGATGTAAGATAGGATCTACAAAACAAAACATAAATAAAAAATATATATTGCTGTTAAATTTAGACTTAATTATATTGTAATATTAATTGTATAGTGTTATTTAATCACGAACACAAGTAAAATTAGGTTTATATAAGTGGTTGAAAAAATTTTCCTTCTTTGAGGATTTTCTAAGAAAATAGTTTATGAAGTACGTACAAAACAGGGAAAATATTATTTTATTTCCAAACTGGATCACTTGAGATCATTTAAGACAAACTAGATCTATTGAGTAGATCAGTAGAATGTAAAGCAGAACTCTCTGAGAGTAAAAAAAAATTATTAATTTGTATTTTTTAAGACAACAAGTAGGAACAATGAACAATGAACTTTAAATTAAGATAAGGTTTAAAAAATGACGTTACCTATTTAACTTTAATAACTGGTATCGTGATATGTATTAATTGTTATGACTAAGCCATTTAAGTGAGTGTATAAATTATTTATAAACATATTGTTTACTTACCTCGTCTACAAATAATATCAATATTAAAATGGCATAGTAATACATCGGATTATTTATGACCCCATCGTCATTTATCAACATTGGAGTAAAGTAAACCAACAAGATAAATGCTAAGCTCCAAATTAATCTGAAATTTATTCAAATATTACAGTATTACTATGCATTTAAAAATTTAAAAATTAAGTGCTGATGGTTAGGCAAACAAATTTTAGTGTTAAAAAATATCAAACGTAAAGGTAAATTCATAACGACGCAAATAAATTTAACCGACCCACAGGGTACAATATTCAAACCAATAATTGAAATAATATCACGAAAGTTGATTAATTTACCGAATATTAGAATTGAACGTAGCCAGATGGCATGCTTCTCGGAAGTATAAATACAAACTATTTTACCTAAATAATACCTAAATAATAATTTACTTGAATACCGCAACTATACACAATGTCGCGATGTATACCAATCCAGTATTTTTGGCAACAATAAGTCGTACAGTTGGTACATTATTTTTTTCTATGAAAATTGTTACTAGTTTAAGTGGTTTAATAATTTGTATATTCTTAGTTTATTTACTTTATGGCTGTCGATTTTAAGTATATACTCATTGGTTTTGGTCCGGAAGTGTACTTTGCTGTTACTAATGGTATAAGTATTTTCACCACGAACATAGCTGTGTTAATAACTGTAATGTCGTCTTTTGATACACCAGCATCAACGAGTTCCAAGTACGTCACAGTATCCGTCACAGAAAATCCAACCTTGATGTGTATAATTCAAATTAATACAATTGTGATAAATGTCCATGTGTAAGTATACGTATTTTATTACAATTGCAATGACAACTTAATCGTTTCAATTTCCATGTGCGTGAAGTTGGCCCCCCGACTTCGTTCGATCGTTTCGAAATCTATGCCAATATTTTGCAAATTAATTATTGCAAATTAGTTGCAAATCAATATTTTATTTTTGGCGAATTTTATACGTTTTTTAGCAAGCCCCCCGACTTTGTCCGATTGTTTGGTAAATTTTACAAGTTTTTTGCAACCGAATGACCCCGGCGTTATATAATACTTATGAAAAATTGTTATATATATTATTGTTTATATATTTTTTGTAATTGCACAACTACTTTTTATGCAATTGGTATGTAGATCATTTCATTTCATTTACAAAAAAAATATATGTATTTAAAACAATCGTTCATAAGTATTATATAACGCTGGAGTCATTCGGTTGCAAAAAACTTGTAAAATTTACGAAACTATCGGACAAAGTCAGGGGGCTGGCTAAAAAACTTGTAAAATTCGCTAAAAATAAAATATCGATTTGCAAATTCTAAAAACCAATTTGCAATTATTTGCAATTAATTTGCAAAATATTAGCATAGATTTCGAAACGATCGGACAAAGTCGGGGGGCCAACTTCACACACATCCAATTTCCAATACTTTTCTAATCATATCCATAATCCATACATATTTAAATAGGTATATACGGGTATACAATAAACAAACTTTTGAATATTATAAAAACTACTGTTTCGATATTTGGATGTTCAACAGTTAGAAAATATAAAAGTTCTCTCCTCCAAAATTAAACTTATACAGTTATACAAAATGTATAATGTATTCATATATTTTTTAAATTTTTACTATAGAAAAAAAAATATTTAAAAAAAAACTATTATACTTCACCTTTTCACCAATATGAATTACTTATTATTATTATTAGAATAATAAATATTCTTTTCAAACGTAAGTATACTGTTTCTCTGGCCAATGAATTATCTCATCTTAATATTTTATGCCTATTTTCGAGTAAACGAAACAGAAAAATGATTTGATTTATTGGGCTACACAGTAATGAAACGTGGGCCATGAACGAGAGTGTCATAGAAACAGAAATAAGTGTGTAATAAATCTTTGAACCCAATAATATTTACCCTTGCTGTTAGTAATGCTATTGCCAATATCCGAATACTAGGTAGCTTTAAAATATCGCCTAGTAGTGTATAGTTTTGAACGACGTTGAGTTTCACATGGTCAAGTTCTAATCTACAATCTTTTTCTTTTTTAAAAATGGCAATTAATGTTGTCACACAGATGAATATCAGGCCCCAAACGTATAGTACACCTAAATAACAAATTCAATTAATGTATAGTAGAAATCAAGTATCAATTTAAAATATACTTAAAAAATGTGTCATACATTTCAAATACTACGGGTACACATTATTTGACATTAAGTCCAAATCAATTTTAAATTAAACTCATCGTTTTATTCTTATTCATTAAAGAATCGATTTTATATAATCTATACTTTAAAGATTTCAAGAAAAATATTGTGACTAATTTTTAGTGATTAAAAAAAAAAAAATAACAATGCAATTTCAGACATAAAATATATGTGAATTCATTACTTTTCATGGTCATTAATCCTCCAGTCATGGGGGTAACCCTTAAATATTTATTGCAGAAGTCTTCAGACGCAAACAATATCGGGAACACGGAACCCAACATCACGCCAATTGCTTGTCCAGTAGTATTGCACGTGGATGCGTGACCCACATTATTTCTGTAAAAAATAAAAGTCTATTAAATTGAATTATTTGTTCATGAGTGTGAAAAGTATAACTCACTTTTTTAACATTGTCAGAGCCCAGCTGTCGACAACGATATCTTGCGTGGCGGCTAAGAAGTTAGATATGAAGAACATACACATCAATACCGGGATATTTGGTGTTCCCGTGTTAGGTAATAAATCATCAATGTCATTGGCCATATAAAGGAAGCATGTCCCTATTCAACATAAATATTAAATAATTATATTTACAATTAAATGTGTTAATCGTGGTGGTTAATGGTTATTATACTCAAATATATGTTTAGGGCAATGTGGAATACCGGTCAATGTTCACATTGCCCTGTTAATGCGCTCCTGCCCGGGCAATGTAAACCACGAATTTTTTTTTAACCAACTAATATCATTTTTTATTATTATTATATATTTATAGTGTTGATTTTTTTTTAAAACAATCATTAATTTTATTCATGTATCATAATACAATAAAATATGAATTTTTTGAAACACTGTATAAACTTATTTTTGTTACTTATCGTACTGCCTATTTAAAAACCAGGTGTAGAAAAGCAGACAGACTATGTAATTCCAAGTGCCATGCTTCTAAATCTTGTTCAAGGAAATAGATAATAATAAAATTACAATTTATTATGAAAATAAAATGATGATACTTGTTAATTTTTTTTTTGTTATTCCATCAAAATATTCGTAATATTATGGTACATGAATACAATTAATAATGGTTGTTTTTAAAAGAAATCAATACTATAAATAGTTAATGATTATTATATATAACAATAATAAAAAATAATATTAGTTGGTTAAAAAAAAATGTGTGGTTTACATTGCCCGGTATTCCACATTGCCCCTAACATATATATACATTATACAATATACATAATTGATAATAATATATATTGTAGTACCACAAATAAGATTTTTGAGCCCCACTGCAAAAGCGACATTAGTTATAAAATCAAGACAGTAGGTCAGTAAACTTTGTATTGTACCTATATTTGTATAATATCCATTTGACAAGTAGTCGCCCTTATTTGTCGCTTTGATATTTGCGAAACAATGTACACAGTGGTGGTTTTTAGGGGGGCAAAGGGGGCACTCACCCCCCCCCCCTTGGATATTTTTGCATGTCCTTTTTTTAATTAAAATTACACTAAATGCTTGAATTGCTTTATTTATGGTGGGGAGAGGCCCAAAAATTGAAAATAGCCCCCCCCCTTGATGTTTTATCAAAACCGCCACTGAATGTACGTATAGCTTGTATAATATTATATGAATAATATATTATACAAATCTATGTTTCAAACATGTGACATACTGCAGTCACCATTACGTGTTATCGAGTTTAATTTGACAGTAATAATTAACGAATTATTATAAAATTAATATTAAATTAGTGTTGTTCAGTTGTAATTGAAATATTTTTCAAACATCAATTGTAAAACATTTCATTTCATTTGAAATATATCAAAACTCGTAGGGATTATTTTATTGGTTTTTTTGTATATATATTTAGAAGTCAGCGTCAAATAAATGTTGTGATTCAGAAGGGTGGTTTGAATTTTAAAATTACATGTACATTATACATAGATTTACAATTGATATACATGTTGAATATGCTCATGTGCATGGCTTTGAATTTATTTTTTTTGCATATCGATGAATTTTAATCCGAATACAAAATAATCATGTCACATATTTATTCAAGATATAAATATTCTAAATACCTACTGTACTTTTCGAATGTTTTAAATTTTAGAGCGTAAGTATATATACTACCTACATAATCTTTTTTATATATGCAATACATATACATATATAATTTGGGAAAAACTATGACGATGGCCAAAATAATACCTGGGTATAGTATTTAAGTATAATATTTTAGTATAAAAGTATGTTTACAAAAAATATTTTAAAACGTATTTTTTTATAATACTTATCTATAAATAGTAGATGCCTATTTTTTTAAAAATAATATATATATTTGGATTTGGATGATTAGAAATAATTTAACTTTTTATTGGTATCATATTATGTATTTTACATAACGTATCTGTTAGTCAATTTTATAAAGCGTATTATTTTGGACGGTTTCACATAGTCATGTTTTTATTGCATTCAATTTACAGCCCTATTTATATTACCATTCGAAATCGAAATGTATTAATAATTTAATAATCAATTAGTTTATCGTAAAAGCGTTATGAATAAAATAAAATGTGTTACCCATTAAGTATTGTACTGGAATGAGCCAAGACTTTCGCCTTCCTATTCTTTGTATGTAGAGTGCATCTACTAAAGGAGCCCATAATAGTTTTAAGCTAAATGGCCATCCAGCTAAACTAAATAAAGCCTGAAAAAAATACAAAAATATTTTCATTTTATAATATATAGTATAATAATTATGTATGCTTTCTGGGAACCAATAGCTAAATCGAATATACCTTCGACGGTTTGGACCTTATTGTATCAATTTACCTGATCTTGGTAGGATATATCATTCTGGCTTTGCAAAATTATTGGTATAGCTGAAGTAAGGCCCAAAGGGAAACCTTGCATAGTGTACAGTAATAGTAGCAAGAAAAAATTTAACCAATCTCCTTTGAGATTTGGCTTGGAAGAATTTGAATCGCATATAGCTGTGGACTTTTCCTTTTCATTTCCATCTGTATTCGACGATGTCATTTTTAAACTTGAGTTTCTTTCTAAATAGCGTAAAATATAGTTGCACTAATCGCTACAGTTAATAAACTAAAGACAGAATGAATTGTGGTCCTTTGGTTATTATCATATCATAATTTGATGACCGGCTATTGTAGTATCTTAATTGCAATAATTGATTCTCTCACAAATAATGTCATATAATTAATATAGATCATTAAAACTAATCTAAATGTGTTGTTATATTAAATATTAATGGTGCTAAACACAAAATTGAAAATATATTGATAACATTGATACATTTAATCATGTACATACCTATTGAGTAAGTATATAAAAGTCGTATAGGTAATAAAATTAACTATTAGGTAACTAATATACTTAATACCTAGTAATTCATTTCGATAAATGATGAATGCCTAAGCTCTTTTTTAAAAACAGTTATAACAACAGCGGAGTCGTTTTTCACCGTAGATATACAATATTATTTTTTAATAAATTCAAATTTAACACATTAATTACAGTAACATACCTAGTACCTACTTGTGGGTTACTTGGCATACCTACTACACAGCAGAGAGAGATCCCCAGATTAAGAAATGTATCTAAAAGTGAAAAGTCCCCACTGACACGCACAAAAGCATTGTATTAAATTAAAACTCCTTCCCCGTCACCATAAAACATTAAAACTTTACCATTCTCACCACTTGGTGTCTTCAATTCCCGTAAATATTACTGTTTCTTTGCTTATTTTAAGTTATTTGTGAAATTTCATTTGTTTGATACTTTGATGTCAATCAAATAGTTCCCATCTTGTGAATATAGTCTTAGTAGGCATGAATAATAGAAATTGACTTCCAGCATGTTGTAGGTACTAACCAAATTATGAATAAAGTACTAAAACCGGTCGTTAAACTGTGTGGATTAATTATAATCTTTTTTTTCTTGTTGTTTTGAATCGATGGCACTGCGCGAACTGGTTTCCTATTGCTTCCTTAAGAAATAATTATGGGCAAAGTACTATGACCCGATGACCAATATTTAATCCTCCGTATTTTGAATACAATTTTTTAAATCATTATTTTTCTTGGGAAAAGCGTTAACTGCAATATTGTATATTAATATCATAGGCAAATTATACCATACGTCCAACACATGGTAGGTTGTTGTACACATTTTCCTTTATTGTGGTTTATACTGTAAAATTTTTTAGAGCACTGTAGATAAAATAGTTGATGGAATATCAGTATATTACTAGGTGTGGATTAGGTAGATATAAAATATAATTGTCCTGTCTGGCTTGCTGCCTCGGAAAATGTTAGTTACAACAAGTTTTAGCTTTTTAAGTTATTAATAATAAGTACATACTTAGTTTTATCAAATATTGAAATATATTTATGCCTATACTAATTCATTTAATTTTTTTTTTTAATTTTGCTCTTTGGTATAAATTTGAACACTGCCCAAACTATTACTGAGCGCCCCATTAAAAGTATTGAGCTATATATAGACATAAGTCTCGCATATTATCTTACCTAGATAAAGATGTTTAATTTTAATTATCTAATAGAATAGTTTTACAAAATACCTACTTATATTGAATTAAAATAAAATTATTTTTTCTAAATATTGATGACCTATTTGTTTATTTAGTAACTATAAATCTTATTACAAACCTTGTTGTATCTAACTTCCGAAGTTGTACACTTTAAGGACAAATAACCTACATTTCAAAAATCAAAATCATAATTTATTCGAGTAAGTTTATATAGGCAGCACAAGAAACCTGTAAAATGCATACAATTAATTAAGAAAATAACTACATTTCTTTTAAAAAAATTGGTAGGAGTAACAGTAAATTATAAAAATATACAGCACCATCTATAGCTATATATAGTGGAGTTCTTGGACTACAAAAAACAGTTTCGATGAAAGTTTTGGCACTGATATTATTGAGTTTTTTTTACTAACAAGTGAAGTGACAATTTTCAATTGATAATTATAATATTATCCTGATTTCATAATGACAATAGTTATTCTATTTACAATTGTATTTTTGGGCTCGCTTACATTTTCAGTACAAGCTCAACTTTACCAATCAAACTATGGACAGTATCAAGAACAGGGAATTCCGTTTAGGGAAAATAATGTTTTAGGTAATCGGCCTATATTGCGTGAGTACGATTTTATTATCATTGGAGCAGGTGCAGGAGGCTGTGTGGTTGCAAACCGTTTATCGGAACAACCAAATTGGTCAGTTCTGTTATTGGAAGCAGGACAAGATGAGACTTTATACACAGATATACCTGGAGCAGCAGAATTACTGCAAGAAACGAATTATAATTGGGGCTATACTTCTGAACCCGTTAAAAACGGTTGTTTAGGTTATAAGAATAAGCGATGTCCTTGGCCAAAAGGAAAAGGCATGGGTGGATCGTCTGTAATAAATGCTTTGCTCTACACAAGAGGATTAAAGGAAGATTATGATACGATTGCGGCACTAGGAAATTCTGGTTGGGCTTACAAAGACATATTGCCATATTTTTTAAAATCTGAAAACAATTCTATACCAGAATATCAAGACTCACTTTTCCATTCACAAAAAGGAAATTTACATGTTGAACGAGTTCGATATCGTTCACCACTTGTTGACATGTTTATTGAAGCCGGAGTTGAATTAGGGTTACAAAAAAATATTGATTATACAGTCAATCAAGAATATCTGGGAATATCACGATCCCAAATTACAACAATAAATGGACGCCGAGTAAATATTTATACCTACTTATAACGTTATAATAACGTACGTTGGTATTGGATATGGTAAAATGTTAATATTATAAAAATACGCCATGCTATAGGAATATTCATTGGAAACAGCGTTTTTAGTTTAATCTTAATCCCATCTATGGATATGAGATATTGACTTATTACTGTTGATTGTAACTTGTAAACAAGTTATTTTGAGAACATTTTATTTTTGTTTTCAAAATGACATGCATTTCCGACAATCGCTGAATACTAAACGGCCAGATAGATAGGCATTGTCAATCATAAAATTATTTGTAACTTAATTTGACTGTAAACAATTTCCTACAATTAATGTTTTTCGGAGATAACGAAATAACAAAAATCGTAATTTTATTTTCCGTACAAAAAAAATATTTTCAAATATTTTAGATTTGAACTTTAAACGCTTATAATAATCTTAATTTGTGAAATTTTCAAATTTCTATAAGTACCTACAACTTATGCCTGGAGCACAACAATGCAGTGAAAAAAACTGAAACAATCCACTTTAATGCCCACCGCGTTATCCTGGCCGTCTCTTTCGCACTGTAATCACACTGCTTTTGTGTTTACCTGAACTTAAACAAACAAAATATTTATTTCATTCACTAAAATTACTTTAAATCAATCTGTATCTATTGAAACTTGTATTACGGCGAAAATATTAAGGTTACAACACTTAAAAATATATAACTGTGGCAGCAAATAATTGCAAAATTAATTACTAAATATTATCCTATATTTTAGTACAATGATTATTTTGTTTTATAGGTAAGTGCATCTAAAGCTTTTATACATCCGGCCAAAGATCGTCAAAACCTTCATGTGGCAATATTCAGCCAAGTAACAAAAATACTCATTGACCCTAAAACTAAAAAAACATTAGGGGTGGAGTTTATTAAAAAGGGAAAAATTAGAACAGTATATTCTAAAAAAGAAGTAATTTTATCTGCTGGGCCAATAAATTCACCACAATTACTAATGTTATCAGGTGTTGGACCAAAAGATCACTTAAAACATCATGGTATACCAGTTATTCAAGATTTACCTGTAGGACAGAATTTACTTGAGCACTACGGCTTAATCGGTACTTATATTTATTTATTAAACATAAATTAAGTTTGAAGATAAAAAATTATCTATTTAAACACTCAATTTCTAGCATACATTAATATATTTGTATACTGATTACGATTTGTAAGAAGGAAGTCATCCTCACCTTTCATATCAAAAGTTTCAAATAATTTAATTGAAATAAAATATATAAATAAACATAATATTATATTAAATACCTGTATAGATATTTTAATTGTTAACACGCATCGTTATATTTATTGTTTAGGTTTGGAATTCATAGTAAATCAAACAGGTCCGGTTCTGACTCGAAAAAGTGTATCTGATCCTCATTTATTTGATGAATGGTACAAATATGGCCGAGGACCACTCACTGTTCCAGAAGGAAGGGAAGGTGTAGCGTATATAAAATCACCAGCAGGCAAACAGCATGAGCTAGTATTAACACCAATAACTAATAAACCGAACGTTTTCTACATTAATACATTCTTGTTACAACCTGACAATAGGGGAAGCGTAACCCTAAAAAGCAATAACTCACTGCAGCCACCTATTATGTCCTTTAATTATTACGACAACAGTACCGACCTAGAAGAAAATATATTCGCAGTTAAATATTCACTGAAATTTGTAGAGAACACACAGGCATTCCAAGGTTTTGCGGCTAAACTAAACCCAGTACCATACCCGAAATGTTCACATTTACCATTTAAATCTGACAATTATTGGGCTTGCGTATTAGTACACATGACCGGTACATCAAATCACCACTGCGGTACGTGCAGGATGGGAGATGTCGTCAACGAAAAATTACAAGTACTTGGAATTTACGGATTAAGAGTAGTGGACTCCTCTATATTCCCACACATTCCAAGTACACATATGTATGCTCCAACAATAATGGTTGGTGAAAAGGGAGCAGATATGATTCGAAGTTATTGGTCAAAATAATAGTATGCTAGTTTGAATTATTTATTATACATTTAATTTATATTAATTATATTTAGGTATTTATATTTTTTTACAATAGTTTTGATATAAATTTAATAAATATTAAAATACATGAACATGGACAAACTATTTTCACCTCCTTTTTTATACATATTTAACGCAGTGTACTTTTCTATTGCCTATTTGTGATGAGACACATTTTTAATATTTTAAAATTATGTACATGCTACCAGCAAAGTATGAAAGCCGGACACCATACACGATGCCCGAACATTTTGCGCAATGTAAGAATCATCATTTTAATACTCCAATATATACATTGACCGGGCATTATACGAGAATGCCGGCAAAGTGAATAACTGCCCAGATTCAAGTGGAAAAATCAAATAAATAGCGCACTGTGCACACTTAAACGAAATATCTAATTGCTTTCTTTAGCAACAAAAACCTATACTGACATGAAATTTCGATGTATTTTAGGAGCCAATTTCTTGAATTTATACTTTTATGCAACATTACATTTTATTAATAATTAATTAAAATAACTTTTATTTAATAATACAATAAATAATATTAATTTTATTCGTGTTAAACCACTTTTATATAATAATATAAGTTCTTCAGTAGCTGGTACCTCCTAACAATGATTCGACGGTTAATATATTTAAAAATATTTATAAGCAACTAATTTGGGGCGTCTATTTTCAACTTTTTGTGTGTTTATTGAAATACCCAGTAAAATGTTTTGTTAAATTTTCGATTTTTAATTTACAGAACCCAAATATAATCTGCTAGTACAATGTAAGCTCCTTAATACTTTGCCTTCGAAAATCGGGCACTGTGCGCCGTGCCCTTCATTATGATACAATGTCTGACTTCCTTCTTTGTGATAAATATTATACCTAAACCTTATTTAATTTAATTTCAACCATCATAGTAATATGGGAATCGACTTCAATGCGTTTTCATTAAAATTAAAATTATATTAACTAAAAATGCATTAAAATAAACTAGTAAAAAACAATCAATATTTTATGAAACAGCACTTATTTATGCAATACAGACATTTATAAATATATATATTATAATCCACAAGATATTGGGAATAAAATAAAATCTTAATTTTTTACAATATGTGAATGTGAAATTCTTAAAATTAAGAGACCAGAAACTAATACCTAATTATATAATTATTATAACAAGGTATATATTGTGGATGCAGAATAAATAAGTTTTCTATTCAAAAATAAAAATTCTGGGTGAAACGTATCATTAATGTAGGTATTTAAAAGTTGAAAATACTCAGTATTAAAATTGTACTCTCCTAGTTTAGATTTTATAAAATATTATTCTGTTTAAGTATCTAAATTTTGTTGAGAACCATATTTCAGTATTTGCTTAAGTCTAAACACATATTTATAAACTTACAACTGATAATGGCGGAAAAAATCGAAAACCGGTCGTCCGACGATGATGTACCTTATTTTTTTTTTTTGACCCGGTGACCTATATTTATTTCAATACTTATTAGTTACTATAAGAAGAAATAAATTTTCCAAAAGAATAAAATATTATTTTTTAAATTTAGTAGTTTAATTATTATTATTATTGTTATAACGTTGTTAAGTTAAATTGTTGAAAAAATCATCAAAATCAGTGACATATGAGAGTCATTTTGTAGTTAAAAATGTAGTTTGAAATATTATTATGGTACAAGTGTACGAAATACAAGTAGATTGACAGATGATGGGAAAACTGGTGGTACTTCATGGGTTACATAGTATATGAACCTAAAAATGTATTACATTTGTTCACTTTTATACACCAGAGTGGCGGGCAAAACATTGAATAAGCTAATTCCTATAAATAATATGTGCAAGTTCCTAAACTGCAGATACAGTGTGGTATGAGTAAATTTCTACACAGCAAAAAATATAACTTAATATATTCGTTCCCACGCCAATAATTATTAATTGTACACTATTATCTTAAAATTTTAAAATAATAATTTTAAAAAATAATGCTTTTTATTATTTATCATACAAATTTAATAACAAATATTATATTTTAGAAACACCTAATACATATTACATATTATCATATTCCATTAATAATAGATAAAATGTAAGTATAAGTGTAAGAACTAACAAATTTATTTTTTTTACCTGCTAAGTCTTGTGTAGGAACTTACATTCGCTCAACTCAACACTAACCCTGAACCCGAGTAATGTTTTCATGGTTCTAGATCAGTTCACCTGACCAAGTGGCGCATGGAAAGTAGTAACACCTAACACTTCAACTTTTTACAGCCTTAAAGGTTAAACCTTGGTCGGTCCTTTTGATTTAATACCATTTCGAAGATCAAGAAGAAATATACCACTTTAAAGATTTGTAATTTGTATCATTGTCTTGGTTCCAAGTCTTTGGTTTGGGTAAAATGGTAAAATGAGCTCAAATAAAATATAAAAATAAAATTATAATATACAATCTAATCAATACAATTTTATTTAATATTATTATAAAAAAAAAAAAATGTAAATATATGATCATCTCTGGTCACTGCAATTTGATTTTATTCAAAATAATTTTACCACGATCAAACGACGCGACACCATTGAAAAGTTCAAAAAACTTACTGTTTAATATTTTTATATATAATCAGTAAGTTTTGTGAAATGTTGATATTTCTCGATCATAGTTAGTAGGAGAAATAGTGCGTATGCATTTTCGTGATATTGAACAACAGCTCTCAAGAATATTACCTATAAAAAGTGGAGAGTTTGACCTACATTTAACAGTATTCGTTCCGGTTCGATAAGCACTGCAGATATTATTCTTGAATCTTGTTAAAGGTCTGTAGTACAAAAGTGCAGACTCTAATGTTCGATTCGTCATGGCATTAAATCTCATAAAATTCGTGTTATTAATTTCATTTACATTCTCAATACGCGCACAGTCAATTTACGGACCTTATGAACATCAAGGAATTCCCTTCAGAGAAAACAATTTTTTAGGTACTCGACCTATTTCGAGTGAGTACGATTTTATTGTTATCGGTGCAGGTCCAGGAGGCTGTGTAGTCGCAAACAGATTATCTGAAAATCCAAATTGGTCAGTACTAGTGCTGGAAGCAGGACAAGATGAATCCATACTTACAGATATACCGGGTGCACAATCGTTATTGGAAACATCGGACACCTACAGTTGGGGATACATAACAGAACCAACAAAAAACGGTTGTCTCGGTTTTAAGAATAAACGTTGTTCTTGGCCAACAGGAAAAGGCATGGGAGGGTCATCGACAATTAATGCTTTATTTTATACTAGAGGAAAAAAAGAACATTATGATTCAATTGCAGCATCAGGGAACACTGGATGGGCTTACAAAGATGTAATGCCCTATTTTTTAAAATCTGAAAATAATTCTATACCAGAATATCAAAATTCACAATTTCATTCACAAAATGGATATTTCCATGTTGAACGATCCCAATACCGTTCACCACTCGTTGATATGTTCATTGATGCAGGCGGTGAACTAGGATTGCGAAAAAATATTGATTATACAGTTGATCCGGAAAACGGAATATCGAGTATTCAAGCTAACACAATAAATGGACGCCGAGTAAGTATAAAACATTTTAGTAAATATTTTTATTTTATTTGGAATAATAATAATGTATTATTTACATTGGGCTGGCTCTCACAAAGTCACAACGGAGGGTCGCAAGTTCAAATAAAAAATATTACATTATACACAATTACTATACCTATATAATTAATACATAACAATTTCAAAAACAATGCCTAAATAGATTATAGAAATACACACTTATATGGCTATATCTACTTATAGTTTTAAATAAATTAAGACATTTGATTGTTTATTCTATTGTGGAAGAATTCGGTACATCATTACGAATTACGATGTACCTTTACGTCTTATGTTTCAACTTAATTACAAGATATGTAGGTACCTACAGTGGGAGTTTCCCGAGTGCGTCCCAAAAAAAAAGGTCATATTTTTTACATAGCCCGAATGCGTCCAGTTCATTTAGAAATACCCAGGGTGCACCACGTGGAGGTGAACTGCCTTACACCCCAAAAATATTATTTTTATTATAATTATTAGAACTAGCTTACACGGTTAAGTTTAAGTTAGCGTACAATTTATTAAAACGTTTTTTGTTATTATTATATATTTATATAAGCTGGTGTTTAAATGCTATTCTTTTGAAAAAATCGAATCTTGTTATTTCATTATTATTAAATTGTTTTATATTGTCTTCGATGTATAATATTTTCTTGCACGTACTTTGTTTTGGTTTTTTTTGTTGTTTGTGTGGCCGTTCGGATTGCTATTTTAGTATCGATTTGAATTTTTTTTAATATTTCCAAAAATGTGTATAAAATAACGAGTTGTACTTGGAATGAATGCTTTCACAAGCATTTGTTGTCCTTTCAGAACTTCTATTCATTTTAGCCCACATGGAAATAGGAAATTTTACTCCAGAATCTGTATAATTTTCTATTATATTATCCATAAATTCGTTAAGTTTTTGATGTTTTGGCATTATAAATATAAAATCTTCAATAATATAGTTTTCTGAATCTACTTGATTTAATAATGGTAAGCCAAATAGATTAATTAAAATTAATTTCCCACCGTTTCCAGTGTTCAAATATCTTAAATAGATACCTATAGCAACTGTAGACCGAGGACGCACTCGGGCACTGTAATATAATTTGTCGATAAAACGGCGGACGCACTGGGACTATGAAAAAGGTAAAAATTAAAAACGGGACGCACTCGGGATATCCCCCCTACAGTAGGGTCTCGATAATCCGAACACAGGCTAAGCCGAAAGACGCGATAATCCGAAATTCCGAACGGGCTTGAGAATTATCTTATCTTATCTAATATGCACATAAGTATTTATAAATAATATTTTCCGGTAATAAAATTTTCGATTATGTTTATTATGATAATTAATATTTTTATATATTCATTGTCTTTTGAAATTACGAGTTTTTACTTGATTAATACAGATGAAAATAAAATGTCTTAATTTAAATTACAATAAAACCGATATTTTTTTTAAGCCATAAGTAATCCGAACAAATCGCTAATCCGAACGACTCCTTTCCCCATCCTCGTTCGGATTATTGAGACCCTACGGTACTTTCAATATCTTATGCGTTAGTATATGTTTTGGTGAAGTACTTCATATCTACTACCTGCTATAACATTGCTTTTAAAATATTGTTTTTATTTACCTACAATTTTTTCTAGCCAAATAAAATAAAAAAACATTTGACATTATAAAATATAATATGAATGTATGGTTCCAAAATGTATAAACATTTTTTCTGAATAAAATTGAAATATAGCTTATTTGTAAATAAGACTTGTTCGATGTGGGCCAAAATACATTGTGAACTGTGCAGGGGTGGAACCTGAGTACAGTTAATTCCAGTATTTTCCGTTTTTACAATGTTTATTAAAGCTGTTATAGATATTATCTATCTTTCTTATTATTATTTGTTATTTGACACCTCAAGCCTAAACAGTCAATTTTTTACGTATTTTACATCGGTAGAACATTCTACAGGTTAATAGGTAGATAGTGGTAAATACTAAATTGTAATGTGCTGTTATCAATATCAGTTATTACTTATTCGGCAGTGATTACTGATTACTGATTAGGTACCAATTATACTATTGTAATGAAATTAAATTGCAAGGAAAATGCCTTTTAACCACCAAATTTTTCTTATTTTAAAGAAAAAATAATGACCCACGTGTTATTAGATTTAATATTTGTGATTTATGTTAATTAAATATCTTTGCTGTACCTATAGGTAAGTGCATCTAAAGCTTTTATACACCCAGCCAAAGATCGTCAAAACCTCCACGTTGCAATATTCAGTCAAGTAACAAGAATACTCTTTGATTCAAAAACTAAAAAAACAATCGGGGTGGAATTTATTAAAAAAGGAAAAACTAGAACTGTATACTCTAAAAAAGAGGTTATTTTATCTGCCGGTCCTATAAATTCACCACAATTACTAATGTTATCTGGAATTGGACCAAAAGAACACTTAAAGTATCATGGTATACCAGTTATCCAAAATTTACCAGTAGGACAACATTTAGAAGACCACTACGGCTTAATCGGTAGTTATATTTATTTATTGAAATAGTTTTATTTTTAACATTGGTAATTATTGTTGTAAAAAAATGTCTAGGTATTCAACTTATATAAGCATCAATATTATATTAACTGTATGTTGAAGTCATTGCGATTGTTCATAATCAAAAATATAAATAATTAAATGTAATTAATATTGTATTCATTTATTTGAAATCAATTAAAAATATTTGTTTAGGTTTGGAATTCATAGTGAATCAAACAGGTCCAGTTCTGACTCAACAAAGTATATCAGATCCAGTGTTATTCGACGAATGGTTCAAGTATGGCCGAGGACCACTAACAGTACCGAGAGGGAGAGACGGTTTGGCTTTCATAAGATCACCGTCCGGCAAAGAGATCGAACTGGTATTGGCTCCTATAACCGACAAACCAAACGTATTTTTCATTAGTACTTTGCTGTTGCAACCGGACGCTCGCGGAAGTATAAAATTAAAATCCAACAACTCGATGCATCCACCTGTTATGTACTATGGTTATTACAACAACAATACCGATCTCGAAGACAACATATACGCTCTTAAGTATGCTGTAAAAATGGTAGAGGAGACGCAGGCATTTAAAAGTGTCGCAGCCAAACTAAACCCCATACCGTATCCGAAATGTGAACGTTTCCGGTTCAGATCTGACGAATATTGGGCATGTTTATCAAAACACTTGACCAACACGTTTCATCATCACTGTGGTACGTGCAGAATGGGAACCGTCGTCAACGACAGATTACAAGTAATTGGCATTCAAGGACTACGAGTAGTGGACTCTTCGATACTCCCACACATTCCTAGCGCGCATCTTTACGCTCCGACCGTAATGGTGGGCGAAAAAGGAGCAGATATGATTAAAAGTTATTGGTCAAATTAATGTCTATAAGAGTCATATAATATTTGTTTATATGTTCTTATATCTACGTTTGATTTATAAAACCCATGGTTTCAGCTCATATGAAGTCTTTGACTGTGAGTTTATTTTGTATTGGGTAGGTACAATGTTTTGAAATTATCACTCAGTATGTACTTGGTGCATCGTTTAATTTATTTACATAATCTGGATAGAAACCCTATTTATTATTTCTTATATAAGGATCATAAAAATGTAATAGTTATAAATTGTATAATTATATAGGTAATTGAATAATTCTATTATAGTTGTGTTCACTGTACCGCTGTTGCCTACTCGTTACGCCGTACAATAAATCAGTGTCTAAAATATTCACAAATTTTGCTACAGCACAATATTATCTAATTCCTCTATCCAAACTATTTGAAAATAATAAACATAGTAGTGTGCCAAACGGAATAAAAGTACTGCACACAATTTTACACTCAGCAATAATTATTAATACCTAGTCCACACTTGGGTGTTGAAAACTTGGAAATCCCCTTGTCGCTACCTGGTTGATAATTGTGTATCCTTGAATACGTGTATAATCATTAGAAATTGGCAATCAATAACAATAATTAATAGCCAACTACGAAAAAGATGTAGATCGAAGCTTGGGTAAATATTTAAACGCAACTACTTGTTTTCACTTCACCTGGCTGTGTATTAACAAGTGAAAAATGATAAGCTAATATGTATCTGTATCACTGAAGAAACAATGAGGGTATTTACTAATTATTAGTCGAATCAATATAAATGTTACTACCTATCGTTATGATATATTTTTAAAAAACTGCCACATGATCAACTTCATTAAACAAATAAAATTATTCAGTCTAAAGTAAAAAAAAAAAAATGTTACCAAATTCAAAATGCCCACTGTATGTAATCACTTCTTGTAATCAATATCTACTGACCTTTGTAGTCGAAGTTTGTATGAGATCAATAAAAAATATATATTTTAACTAATGAAATAGCAAGTTTAGTTTATAAATATTTTTTAAGCTCGTTTTATGCATAGTAAGTAAGTAGGTAGGTAGTACCTTAGATGATTAATTGCTTGTATTTTTATAATGTAAAATAGGTACCTATATAGTAGCATAGGCTAAAGTAGACATTCTAGTTTCTAGTGTTTCAATAAGTTTCAGTTTAAAAATGTGACTGTGTAAACTATCTACTTAAGTTGTAAGAATTGGTTTCAAAATAGTGATTCTTAAAATTATAACACAGAGAAACAGTTGTCTTATATATAAACGTTCTGAACAGCTGATTCGCATAAAAACCGGCCCTGCAAAATAAATACCCGTGTCCAATTTTTTTAATTTTACTAAAATCTAAATTAGTGTTTTTCAAGCTTTGAAGCAGTTTCTTTGATCGCTATCACGATGTTGTAGGATGTGCTACAGACTTAGTCTCTTCATCATCCCCCATATGGCACAATTGGTGGGACGACAAACACCGTGGATAATACACGAGATTCATGAGTGGCGAGTCCCAGGCAGATTGGGAAAATTGGATGTGATAACGAGGTTCTGTGGTGGGGGGGGGCAGATTCTGGTCGGCCCTTGAAGCTCCCTGCAGTCACTTGTTCCATCTATCATTCTTCTATCTTGAAACCATGATAAAATAAATCATGTTTGTAACAAAATATGATAATTCATTGTAATTTGTAACAATGTGTAATGTGTACCTATAATTTACAGTTAGAAGTTTTGTAACTGCAATGCAGTAAACGATGTTGTACAAGGAAGTAAAGCCAATGCTAGTCCCCACTTAAGTGGCGAAGTTAAGTTCTTATCGGATTTCAAACACAAACTTATGCGAAACTGAATAGTTCATCCAAACCAATAAATAATTCAATGTATAAAAAAAAATGGTAAAAAAGTGGGTAATCCTCTATTATAGGCACATTAGGCGTCTAGAGAGTCCTTGCAGTAGATGTGTTAAATTTTAATTCAATAATCAATGTATAAGAAAAACAATATTCTGAGCGAAGACGCTCTGTCATCCTTTATAATATTACTAAGTAAATTTTATTATATTATTGTGACTTTGTAATTTTTTTACTATTATTTATTATGTAGTAGGTACCTACTAGGTGCAGTAGGTTAAATTATTTTTTGCCAAAATATTGCATTTGAAAATGTTGAGTAGGTAGGTATATATTGATTTATTGTAGGTACACCATGACAAAATTTTTTTTGAATATTTTGTCATACCGTTTACAATATAATATTGTACCTACCTACTCTAAAAGTCTAAAGTACCCACGCATAATTTTAAATTATGTATGACCAAATAACTAATATCGCTATTCTTGGTTCAAATATGTAATTTCTCCCAAATTTGAACTTAAAATGTCAGTAAAAAATAACCGTTTTAATTTTTTTTTGAATTTTTGGTTACAGTAAAACCCATTAAAATGAGATTCCTTGTTTTAAATTCAATTTAAAATAATTTGCAATTTGCTCTACTGATAGGTAGGCACCTACAGATGCAGCATATGTACCTAGTACCTGGGTACATAGTACCTAGTCATAATATAAAACCTACCTCTCTAATGCATATGAATAATTATTGTGTTTTAACATTTATTAGATATTGCAGAGTAAATTTATATTTTTAAAATTTTTTCTCCGATAATAATTCTTATACTTGATTTGAACTCTACTAATGTTAAAGTCTTAGAAAACAAAAATAGTATTAGTATTATGTAGCCATGTAGGTAAGGTAAATATATCTTTTTAATAAAATGTGGGTAAAATGTAAATTTAATGGTTTTCATAGGTTTATATTATTAATTGTTTATTACTTTTTCCAAAAAATCATTAATATTTTTTTAAGTACAAAGGATCCAACAGGTAGTTCATTAGCCTAAAATTATATTTACATTTACACAAATTAGTATGGTTATTTGCTTCGCTTAATTACGATGATTACATTTATTTATTTTTAATGTTATTTACATGCTTGCATGTTATATTAATTTAACTTATATAAATTGTTGGTATCAATACCAATTTTTTTGAAAAGTTGTATATTGAGTAGGTATAGTGTTCTCCAAGTGCTTCTTCCATAATTGGAGGTATGTAGATGATTCTTGAGGTGGCAAAAAGTAGACAATCTAGGACTATGTGTTTTACTGTGAGGGGTTTGTCACATGAGTTGCAGTAGGGTTGTTTTTCATCCTGTATTACATATTATAATATCTGAGTGAGGCAGGTATGTCTGATTCTGGTTCTTGTGGTTATTATGTCTGAGTGTCGAGAGATATTATTATTGGTATGCCAATTGTTTATTTTCTTTTTATTTCTTTAAGTTTATTAGTTATTGGTACTACATCCTAAGATGTATACAACATTTCGGTGATGTGTATGTTTATAAATTTTAATGTCTTGTTACGGGATAGCAGTTTTGTTTTTTTAAATATAGGAGAAGTAATTGCCTCGTTTGCTAATGAATTTATTATTTGTTTTAACTTTTAAGCATGTTGCAATTTATTTAGACTTAAGTTAGGGCATTGTTCTGAAATAAAGGTTGAGAAACACTAAATTTCATATTTAATATGGCTATTAATTAAGTCTTAATAATAATTTGAAGCAATTAAACTACAATTTTGAGATAAAATAGTTGTGATAATATTATAATAATAACAATAATCAATCAGCTATATAAACAAAAAAATATATATATTTTACAGTACAAAATGTTTTATCATGATTTTTGATAGGTATTAAAATATTATTCTAGTAGAGTCTGACAATATTCGTTGCAATACAGATAAAATACAAAACCATATTCTAAGAGACCAAAATCAAACAATTAATAAACATTTTCAATTTTATTTTGCACCCTTAGTATCTGAATCGTCATCTAAATGTTGATAGAGTTTTGTAAATAAATTACCATTTCTCTTTTGAATGGACTTTAATCGACCAGCAAACTGAGGTCGCGTTGAAGGTTCAGCTCTACGATTTTCCAAATCTTGAACTATCTGCAAATACATAACACTGTTTGGATTTACATCAACAGCGTTAGGTGCAATATTATGTTTTTTTCCTGTCTGTTGAGCTAATGGTGGAGACATAGGCGAATCAGTAGTAGCTCGTATTACACTCGGCCTGTCGGCCAAAGATTTCTTAAAACGCATTAAAGTTTTTTCAATAATTTTTTCTTCATCAAGTTTACCACGGCATTCAAATAAACATTGCAAAACTTTACAGTGATTCTCAGTATATAAATTTGATTTCAAAAATGTTTCCAACTCTGCCCACATAGACTTATATTGATCATCTTTTTTCATCATTTTTCGTGGATTTGACAGACTGGGTACAATGAGGTGTTCATTCTTTGATTCAGCTGCCATTAAAGCATAAATACATTGTTTGCAATTCATTACTTCCTGATCACTAATGTTATCTTTAACCATTAATGACAACATTGGTTCAGTATATTGCTTCAAATTAAATATTATTGTTGAAGATGTTGTTAGTGGCCAATATGCAGTTTGTTTTTTCAATTTTTCTTTTGCATCTTCAATATTGTTTTTATCTTCTGACTGTTTTCTTTTTGATGGTTGCAGTAAATTTAACCTCATAAAATTACCAAAATCGGCTATTCTATACTGAGTCACTTTCCCTCCGGGGCCTTCACTAATAGCTGGTGGGTCTTCAAGTACTGTGCGACCAGAAGACACAGTATGTATGTATATCTCACCGTTGTACGATTTTAAAACATGTGACATGCTTTTACCACCCCCTTGTTTAATCATCTCAAGTAAAACTGATCGGCCATTCAGTAAAAACGTTATCAAACATGCGCTTGGTCTGCTGTTTATATCAACTGGAGTGATTCTATGTAGCGTCGTACAACTGTGAATATCTGGCAAATTGTTGTTTGCCCTAGGTGTACACCATTTTAATTTAATTGTCTCATAGTCAGCTCCTTCCTTTTTTGCAACCACTGCTTTGGCATCAGCTACATTTGCATTTAAAATAGTTGTATGTGCAGTAGCTGCATGGTATATTTCTACATCATAATTTGCTGATGAACTGGCGTTTTGTTCTTCCTTCATGGGAATACCAGTAACTGTTGTACTAGCTAGATTGTAGTGTTTTAATAAAAGGTTTGATATCTTAATACCAATTTTAGATGCAGGAATTGAATGCACTTCCAAATCTAGTATTGTTGATATGGCATGAGGTGGGCGATCAGTGACTTCACATGTTATAGAATCTGGATATGTGTTAATTATCACTAAGTGACAATGATGAATAGACATCGAACTAGGTTGAGATACATATTTGTTGCTTTTGATCATCTCATTATG